GTTTCTAAATTTGCCAAAATATTTGCAACCTTGCAAATTTGATGCGATTACGGCAATGGCACCTTTGCACCGGGTTGCAAAGCCTAGTGCAAATCTGTTTTTTCGCCCTGTGAGAGGTAGAGGAAGAGAGTGTGGAAAAGCATGATGGGGTCTTTATGGGTCCAATGTCTATGTTTCCATCTTTTCCTCACAGCATTACGTTTGAAGAGTCACGAGAATTAAAAATCATTGCAACACCTGTAGACGATTCGGCAGAAATTTACACGATCACGCATAATCGGCAAGAATATGGCGTGATGAAAACGGAAGATGCCACAATATCGGCCACAATACAACTTGTTGCAGCAGCAGATGGTGTAGATTTGGGCGCCGATCAAGTTGTTGTACCCATATCATACCCCCTTCGATTTGGTTGGAAAACCAAAGAAGTTTACGTGAATGGTGATCTTATCAATCCCACTTCCACCCATGAATCCGATTTAGAATATGTGAATTATCTTCTCACACAAACACCAACTGGCTATAAAGATAAGTTGGGTATTACCATGGGCTAGAGCGATACCCCTGGGGTTTTTTACAGTCGTGTCAATCTTCATGACGCTGGAGGTGGTCTTGTCAACTCGGGTGGTCATAAACGTTGGTTAGCATATAGTCAGAGTGGCGAAGTAATATGTGGCGATCATTTGGATATATTGGGACATAATAAACGTTATGTTCCATCATCCTATGATATGAAAATTGTGCTTCATCGTTTGGAGAAAACCAAATTTTTATTCGGTACAACACAGCATTGTACTGACGCTAAAGTGTTAATTAAAAATCTAAAATTAACCATTCCCATGATGAAACCCGTGCAACAATTGTCCGACGCAATCAATGATATCATGATTCAGAAAGCTGAAGAATGCAAATTCTATGTTACCCATTATCGTTTCGCTGCAAAACCTTTGGCTATAGGTGCTCAATATGTGCAATTCAGTGATATTTTCGATGGTACTCAACCTACAAGAATGATTTGTTATCAGAAATCGCAAACGCGTTACAATGGTCATCATCAGCACAACCATAACCGTTTGATATCAATCATTTTGTGGTCAAAATCAACGAGGCTAATGTCGTACCGACCATCAGCAATGCCAAAGAGTCGTATATGAATTTGGTACAAGTTTTAAATCTTCGTCACAGTGAGATGCCATTTGATTTCGAGCATTATGAAGATAGTTATGGCGTGATTGTAATGGTCTGTTTACAAATAAAGACAGTTACAATCAGACCTTACCCAATTCAACTTCTGGCGTGGTAAGTGTAGAGGTGAAATACACACAACCCCTAGTTGCTGCACAACAGTTGATTTTCGTGGGAGAATTCCGTAATCAATTAAGTATTGGTTACAAATCAGCTGCTCGTAAAAAGTATGATTTTTAAATAAAAGACTTTCATACAAACGTACGTTAAATCATTACATCATGCCTAAGAGAAAGCGAACGTCGCGTTGTTGTATTAAAACACATGCAGTAAAAAAATCGAACAGACTTTTACGACCGCCTGACGGTAAAGTTATCAGTTCTTATGCTCAGTCCATACAAACAATACATGTTCATCTTGTGATTTCAAAATATGGATGAAACGCAACAACAACAACAACAAAAAGAAGAAGAAGAAGAAGAAGAAGAAGAAGAAGAAGAAGAAGAAGAAGAAGAAGAAGAAGAAGGAGAAGAAGAAGAAGAAGAAGAAGAAGAAGAAGAAGAAGAAGAAGAAGAAGAAGAAGAAGAAGAAGAAGAAGAAGAAGAAGAAGAAGAAGAAGAAGAAGAAGAAGAAGAAGAAGAAGAAGAAGAAGAAGAAGAAGAAGAAGAGCAACAGCAACAGCAACAGCAACAGCAACAGCAACAGCAACAGCAACAGCAACAGCAACAGCAACAGCAAGAACAAGAACAAGAACAAGAACAAGAACAAGAACAAGAACAAGAACAAGAACAAGAACAAGAACAAGAACAAGAACAACAACAACAACAACAACAACAACAACAACAACAACAACAACAACAACAACAACAACAACAACAACAACAACAACAACAACAACAACAACAACAACAACAACAACAACAACAACAACAACAACAACAACAAGAACCAGAACGACGACGACGACGACGACGACGACGACGACGACGACGACGACGACGCCGACGCCGGCGGCGGCGGCGGCGGCGGCGGCGGCGGCGGCGACGGCGACGGCGACGGCGACGGCGACGGCGACGGCGACGGCGACGGCGACGGCGACGGCGACGGCGACGGCGACGGCGACGGCGACGGCGACGGCGACGACGACGACGACGACGACGACGACGACGACGACGACGACAACAATAATGGAAACTTTATTATTTTCAATAATATATATCTACATACTACAATGATAAACCTTTCTTTGCAGGTAGTTTATCAGTGTCTACTTGAATTAACACGGCTACATAATAATAATATTAGTATGACATTAGTTGTGGGTTATTCCATTCTTTGTTACGCTTACAGAATATATAATACGAGGACCTGATACATATGTTAATAATTTTCCGAACATAGTACTTTCTACATTGTTCATCAAACTTTAGATCTTTTAGCATTTCGGTGAAATCTAGAGACGAATGACTGAAAACTCCTAATGAACTAATCGATAAATTTACAAATTTTACTTTTTCATAATTTTTGAGCTGTTCATTAATTAGATCTTGATATTTTTGTCTTTTTCGAGTTGCATTAGTGAGGAGATTAGATTCGAATCCGACCGTAAGTTCAAGTATATAAATATATTTGTTTTCAAGTGTTATCAAAAGATCAGGGCGTAATTCATCTCCGGTGAGAACAGATGGACTGATATAGCCAGGAAGGTCAGCATAAAGGTTAGAATAATTCACAGATTTTAGTATGGATGCTATGAAATTAAGCACCGAATCATGACGCCACGTGAAACGTCCTTCATTTAGGTAGGTCTTGCATCCAGCGACGACGTGGACAAGTGATTCGGGATTCAAACAGAACGAACATTCGGATGTTGGTGATATTCCCCATTTCTGAAGGTTTTTGCTAGTCGGAAGAGTGTTATTTATATACCGGATAGTAAAATTAAATATATTCTTGGGAAGTTTACTCTGAACGGAGGACCATATAGAGTTGAATGAGAGCGTCGAATGTTTTGTCAAGTGTCAAGTGTTTTTTTGTCAAGTGTCAAGCAGCGGCGGCGGAACAGATTTCATTCTGGGGGGGGCTAAATTATTTCGGCGAACTCCCCCCCCCGTCCCCCCCCCCCCGTCGCCAAAATAATTTCGGTCAGTGTACCATTTTGGGGGAAAATATACAAAAAAAGGGACGAAAAAATTTTTTTCGGACTTATATCTAAAATTTTTTTCCGAAATAGACTTTTTTTAATTAAACAAAATATTGCAAATTTGTCCCCTCATACCTAAATTTTCAAAAAATAACCTAAATTTTTCCGTAATTATCAAAATTTTTTCAAAAAATTCAAATTTTCTGGGGGGCCTAAGCCCCCCCCCACTTTTACTTCTGGGGGGGGGGGCTTTAGCCCCCCCCCCTGTTCCGCCGCCCCTGGTGTCAAGTGTCGAATGTTTTGTCAAGTGTCAAGTGGAGTTTTAATTTTATCCATATATTGTTTACATAATTTTTCACTTCTTGCCTGTAATTTCTCCACGTTGAACATTCGTAAAAGTTCGTCATAGGTCTCTTCTCCAGGTTTAATCATTTTTAGAGCTCTTCTCTGGACAGACTCAATTTTGTGTGAGAGATACTCCGGTATAGCTTGTCAAACCAGCACCGCATATTCCAGTATCGGTCTTATAATCACAGAATAGACCTTCAACATCTTGTTTGTTTCAACACCTGCTTTACGCAGTATACGCAGAGAGTATAATCTTTTACATGCTTTTCCATATATATAGACTTTCAAATTATTTGTTTTTTATTTTGAACCTAAATGGGTTATGGGAGGTTTTTTCCTTTCAACTTCAACTAATGTTTTCAATTTTTCGATTAGGACTATTTTACAATGAAGTACTGTTGGATACAGTAATCTAAATACATATGAAAACGAAGAAGTGGCATTTATCGGGCAGAGAAGCAGCGAGCCATTATAATGGCGGCAATTTGACGAAATATATCGAAGGGCACAATATCGAAGATAAAATACACTGCACTGTTTCAAAACTTGATGAAACTTGGTTGAAATCTTCTTTAGCCAATTATCACTATGTAAAAGTACAACAACTGGATGATATTTGCGAGACTCGGCGATAAAAAGCAAACAAGACGGCAAAATATGGCTGAAATCGTGTTTTCGTGGGGTGAGTGAAACAAAATGTATTGTATTTAAAGAAAACAATGACAATCCTTATGAAAACTACAATATTTATATTAAATTAAGCATAGATTTTCATCCCATGATAATTTTTTTTAGGAAATAAGAACATTTAATTTCTGCCAGGCATATTAGTTATTTTATGCATAATTAGCAATTTACCTGGGGTGGTGCATGGTCATTTTCTTGTCATGGTCATGGTCATTTTTTTTTTTTTTTGCTTATTATTTTTTCAAATTTTTCCTTCCAATAACCAACCCTAACAGCAACCCTTCTAAACACTATAAGCACTTCAAAAAGGTTGTCGTTTTTGTTTTCGGAAGTTAGAGCTATGTCGGCAGTGTCGTTTCAGGTTTTGGTACATATGCCATGTTGATCGCCATGGTCATTTTACCCTAAAACAGGTGAGATTACCTTTGCTAAATGAAACGGATACAAACATCTATACAGGTCCTAGACTAGTCAAGTTACTAATTATAACTAGCTAGGCTGACAAATCGCTATGTGCTAATGTAAAGATACTATGTCATCTGCTATCTACTATTTTGGTTTGGACTCCTAGTATACACTACAACAGCATAGTTACCTGTCTTGTTGAAAAACTGAGTATTAGAAGCTGTACTGCGTTTGCACTCTGAGTGGCCGTCGGAGTACCTGGACTTGGAGGTGTAACAGGAGTGTCGATTGTAATACTGAAACCAGTTAGGTCTCGAAACTTCTGAAGTTTGGCAGACATAATAGATGCTACGATAGCTTGATCAACAGTGGCATTCCTTACAATGCTTGGATAATCGACGTAGAACTGGATAATGGCGTCATCTCCTTGATTACTGGGGTAATTTCGCAGCCGTTTAACGTTTAATTCACTGAACAATAACTGGTTTCTGTATGGACATAATACGAAATGCATGGTTGACAATTATTCTCGGTGAAATCAGTTCATGTATTTGTATTATGAATCCTAATATATATATATGTATATATATATATATATATATATATATATATATATATATATATATATATATATATATATATATATATATATATATATATAATGAATTCATGCCATTAAAAGTCTTATGCCCTTACCACAAACTATTCCCAATTGAACCTAGTATTTACCTTTACATCTTCCCTACCCAATCGAAAACAGTTTTAACAATGATTTTTTTTAAAGTGCAGCCAGGCATGCTTATTGGTGTTACATTTGTGACGTCATAGAATCACAATTAAAACTATTTATTATGCCATATATGTTTATTTGATGTGTTTGAAACCGCGGCCCTTTTGTGACAACGTCTTACTGACATATATGTGACAAAGTACATGGACTTACTGTTCTACACCACAATCTTGAGGTCTAAGTGAGTTTTCATTACAAAGGTCATTGAGTAATTTAACCACTGAATCTTTAAACAGCACATCAACATCCACGGTGTACTAAACAAATACAAGATGTTTATTATATAAGCTTTGTGTTTCAGTATTGGTTGAATTATTTAACCACTGGGAGCTACTTTTGTCCTCATTTTGAGGTTTAAAGGAGAAGGGTTATGGGTAAATATTAAGCTTTCGTTGGCATGGAACGATTTTGGTTTCATAGAGAATAGTTCAATAGAGTAAAAACAACAAGCTCCAGTTGAACGAAGACATGTGTAAGCAAATGATAGTTGACTTTAAGAAAGTGAAACATTAGCTTAAGACCATCGCATCATCATCAATTCCAAAGAAGTCGAGCTCGTCAGCAATGCCAAGATATTGGGTGTCATGGTGTCTAATTAACTCATTGGAATGGATTGACCATGCATGTCAACTACCCTGTATGTCGTGAATATAGCTAACAAACGTTTGTATTTCCTAATTTTGCTTAGGCGTGCAAGCATTCCTGCTGACCATATCCTAAAATGTTATTGTGCTTGCATCAGACCAATTCTTGAGTAGTGTGCTCCTGTATTCCACCACTCATTACCTGAAAATTTATGTGACGATCTTGAACGCTTTCAATATACAACTAGAAAATACATGCATGCAGCAACCCCTCGCCTTTCTTAACAGATGAAGTATAAAAACCCCACATAAAGACCATTATAAACAAACACAAAAACACAAATGATGCCGTGATGCGCTAGCTTTATATTTCGTATTTCTACTTTCAACGATCATCAGAAGAATGCGATTCGAACAATAATTAAAGAAAAATGAGATGTGAATATTTGAATATTTATTAAATGTTTACGAATTTTGTTGTTTTAACTTTTGTTGCTTTAACGAAGCTTTAAGTTCATAAATTGCCGTTTAATTTGAGAAGAAATCTTAAAATGTAAAGGCGAACAAATTGATTTGAAGACTGAACTGAAATTACCTGACAATTTGTTTTACTTGTATTACACTTATTATGCTTTATTAAGTAAAACAGTTTATCGGCAAAATATTGTTTACTTGAATGAACATTTCAAAACATTTTCGAAGCGTTTCAAGTTAAATTTTACATTAATTAAATCAAAGCTGACAAAATGCAAAATAATATACCTATACAGTATATATTTCGGAAATTTATTGTTGTATAGTTAAAAGTACGAATTCGAATCTTTCAACTATTTTGCAGTTTTGTACAAAAAATACGAAAAAATTAAAAATTTAAGAATATCGTGTTGTCACGGCCACCCTTGATAGCGAGCCTACGTTCACTGTTCGTCATGTCTGAATACTTTATGTTAATTTAATGTTTGGAAAATATTGGCGAGGGGTTACTGCATGCATGTATTTCTAGTATGTAGCACTTTAGTTTAATATATTGTTGCCTAGTCATTGTAAAAATTTAAATGCATCGCCAACATTAGTATTAATTTATATAATACGAACATTGCCCTTCTTTTTCTCTCTTGTATACACAGACGTATATATTCTTCAAAACTTCTCATTTTACATATTGTATTGACTGACTGTAAATAATTGACTATGTGATTTAATTATCACAAATGCACAGTAACTATATAAAGGCCTAAATAAATAGTCTACGAAGATTTCTAGTAGGTATCTAGGCCAAAATCGTTTATAAATATATTTTAAGTAGCTTTTTATACATGGTGAAAATTAAATAAAAATATATAATATATACATTTGTAAACAATAACTGTTTTAAAATCGACAAGTTGTCAATTTCAAATTACTGCATTCAAATTCATACGAAATCAAAAATATTTATACATTTGCTAGTTACAGGTAAACTACGTGAAGCGTTCCTCTTTTGAGTTTCTAAATTGATTACAATTTTCCTCATTACTTTTGCAATTCAAAAAAACTCCCTTGCAAATCCCTTGAGGAAATTTGCAATGTTGCTAAAAGGCAATTACATTTTCCTCAGTTCCTGTTAGAAGTTCTTAACTTCCTGTAACAAGTTCCTAACTTCCTGTTCTGTTCTGGGCGTTGCAATTGGCTAACAAAAATAATCCACCAATGACAACGCTCAGAACAGAACAGAACAGAACAGAACAGAACAGAACAGAACAGAACAGAACAGAACAGAACAGAACAGAACAGAACAGAACAGAACAGAACAGAACAGAACAGAACAGAACAGAAACCTACGTCATGGCGGGAAACCTACGCCATGCTGTTTCCTGATTGGTCAAGTTGAAACAATCGGAATGTTGTTGCAGGAAGCAGCCTGATAGTGGGGAGAAAACCTCGGACCCGAGAATAGGCTGCGTAGGACACAGCCCCTTCGTCAGAAACGAGATAAGTTCAAATCCATGGATTTGAACTGGATTTGAACTTATCTCGTTTCTGACGAAGGGGCTGTGCCCCGAAACGTAGCTTTATCTTTACAACATGTATTTATTTATTTGAAGTTTAATAAAATCTATTTTCAATTTGAAGCTTTATATATATATATATATATATATATATATATATATATATATATATATATATATATATATATATATATATATATATATATATATATATATATATATATATATATATATATTGCTAT